GGCTGAGGGGGGAGGGGGGGAGGCTGGGTGGCCAGAAGCTGTCACAGGAACAAAAGGTCGCCGCTTTGACCTCGAAACAGTCGACACGTCCATCAAACGTCACACGTCCTTGAGCACGATACTGAACTGTTAAGTGTCTGAAAAAAAGCCACTGGGAGCTCTGCAGGGCTGCTCACAGAGAGGAACCGGTGGGGGCGGGGCCAGCAGCCGGGGGGGTGGGGGTTGTGGGAGAACACAGCTAAAGATATACTGCAACACCCCTCCAGGTCCAGGTGCTGATTACACTCACAAAACATGATATCAAATCTAAACGCAACCTTGAACTGAACACACGTTTTCTAATGATGGGAAAATATCAACTCGTTAGCTTAATTAAAGCTGAGAAGCTGTGACTGAAGCCAGCGTGTGCCACACATCTGCCCACTAATTCATTTGCACTCTGTGTTATCTGCAGCACTTCACAGCAACCAAAAACTGCAGCCGCACAACTTCAGACTCAAATCTCTGCAAAGTTTGGAGCTGCATGTTTACATCTGACAAAGCAGCAGAAATATAAATGTATGAAGAGGCAGAGGAGCGGCATTGATTCCATTTTTCAGACGAAGCTTCATCTCCGCGGCTGGAGGTTGGCGTGGAGTTTGAATGTTCGGAGAGACAAACGGGGAATGCAAACACACCGACCGACTTCAGCATCACGTTCGCGCTAACATCGTTACACACTGTAAAGCTGCTGTTCTAGCTCAATAAAGGAGGAGGAGCTGCTCTCGATAAGATCAGCAGTTCAAAACCACAGAAAGCCGGAGTGGGCTGAGAGGAGGAGAAACGCTGAAGAGGAGGAGGAAGCTCGTGTAGGAGTGAGCACGAGCTGACCTGTAGGCATGTGTTTTTGTGTAGGTAGAAGGAGATTAGTGGCCGGAGTCACGCTACACTTTCACTCACAAACTTAGAACAGCAAACACGCCTCCTCTGGAGCTGAGCTCTCTCTTACTCACATCGTTGGGAATGAGCAGCTCCTGAGACGTGGTTTGGGAATTAGCCTCCATCCCTCCTGGGAGAGAGAGAAGACAGAGAAAATTCATTTTGAATGATTAGAAAACGTCCAAATCATCAGGGATCAAAACACAACAAACCCCCAATGGCTTCTTTTTCATCACCGTCCTCCACAAACGGGGACTTAGTTTGACTTTGATAAGAGCAAAGTGGGAGGAAAACTGAAAGAAGGGCAAAGCTAGAACAAAGAAGGAAAAACGTTTCAACAAATCATATTTTTATTTTACCCCATTAATAGAAAATGAAGGAATCTCTGTTTGCGCTTTAATAACACTGTTTCTGATTTGGTGAGCACAGCTGGAGTCAGGATGGGTGGTCAGCGTTACTGTACATACATACTCTCCTTTCTTCCTGCTGCTTTCATGACTTTACTTTCAGAAGGAAAGTTTCTGTCAGGGTTCAAACTTCCTGCTGTCCAGTTTATCGTCCCTGCGATCAGGACTCGCTGACCACGGTTTGCAGTACCGATATATTTGTGCCCTGGATGATTCTATCCAACCGGCTAACGAGGAGCCAAAAAACTGATACGCTTTACCCGGACCTTCCCCTCGTTTACGTCCTTTGCTGCAGAAAGGTTTGATCGCTCTGAAACTCTGTGTGTGAGTGTGTGAGACACCCGTCCAACCACGTCTGATGAGTTTTCTACCTGGACTCGCCCCTACGTGACGACTCTCTCGTCGATGGTTCTTTTTGCTGCTTCCACTTTTCTTTCTTTCTTTTTTCTTCATCCTTTCTCATCTTTTCCTCCCTCCCTGCCTTAGTTTTCATTCTTAAATCTCTTTCATTTTTCTTGTTCTCTATGGTTCACGCACTCATGTTTTCCATCTGTTTCCTCTCTGGTTCTTCTGTTCTTTCTCTCATTTCCTTCTTTCCATTTTCTCCTTTTCTTTATCTTCGTTGTACATGTACACTGACAAAAAACTGGCTATTCTATTCTTCTTCTCTGTCCTTTTGTCTTTTTTCTCCTGCCTCTTTTCTGTCTTTCACTTCTGTCCTCTGGTCCCTTGTCCTCTTATATAGTTGCTGCTTTCCCTCCTTGAGGAACGTCAGAACCTGATTGGCTCCTCTGAAGAGGTGGAGGTGGAGTTCTCTCCTTTGCTACAAAAACTGCATCTGTGACAAATTATTCAATTTCCTGAATTTAACTGTTTTAACGATGCCATCTCTGCGGTCTTATTATTAACGAGGCCAACACAATCAGCTGTTTGCTCAGTCACACCTTTGATTTCCACCTTTTAGTCGATTAGCGGAGCCGTTCTGCAGAGCGGCGTGGAGCCTCACCGATGCAGCCAGAAATCTGCCGGCCAGGTTTGAGTACAGAGCTGCTCTGCAGTCAGCGTGTAGGCTCAGCTGGATGCTCCAAATCAAAGCCACCAGGCACAGATTCTAATTCAGAGCCGCGCTGCAGAATGAAGCTCGTGCAGCATTCATTACCTCATTATGTACTTGAAAAGTTGTCCCACAAACAGAGGCGCAGACAGGAGAGAGAGCATTGTGCATTTTAAAGGCTGAACTCGGAGGATGTCTGATAACATTCACACATTTTTACAAACATCTCTGTTGTTTTTGATAAAGAGAATGATGAAACTCGATGTAATGCCTTTTCCAAAATGAAAATAAGGTTTTTGAATAAATCCGTCTGTTTTCTAAGAGGCTGCAGACTTTGACGTCTGTTTTTAGTCCTTTGATTCAAAGTCGAATGTGTGCAGACTGAACACGTATGCGTCTGCTGACAGCTCGTCTCTCTCGCGCTCACGTGCACGTCACCAACATGTGCTGCATGCACACGACGGTCAAATCGCTCAGAGTTCCCAGAATCTCGAGTGGCTGTTTGAGGTTTTAGGCTCAGGTTTGCAGCAGTGTTATGGTTTTATTGTACGCTTTGTGTGACTGCATCAGTGAGCTGGGCTCTTAATTTCCTTTGGAATGACAGAGGGAACCATTATCACACTCTGACTCCTGAGTCTTTAGCGCTCAGCCTCAGAGAGCAGACGTTATCGCGTCAGAGGGAGGTGGGAATCGTCTGGCAACACAGGACACATGGAGGCGTATAGATTAAAGGCAGTTCCTGTTAAATGGACGTTTTCCAGGAAGCACAGGGGTTTGCAGGGTTTCAGGTTTCACTGAGGAGATCAGTCAATAATGAAACTACAGTGAGCACAAAAGCCTTTGTGGCTCTTTTATTTCACAGATCACAAACCGCTCTGTGGCAACACAAACTTATTTTGTTAACCTCTCTGTGGAGTCTGATTTATTATACGGCATATTGAACTATTAATCTGAGCCGGACACCGAGACTGTGAGTCGCTCTTTGTCTTGACTTGTAAATACCTGCAGATTCAGACATGCGGGGGGAAAAGAGATGTTAACGAGCAGATCGCTCTGAGGCTAAATATTTACTACAGGTATATGTTTATCTAACACAGATATCAGGTTTACACAGGTCGTACTTCTTTGTAATAAATCCAGCTGTCAGATTCACCCAGAGAACATCTGCTAAAGCAGCTCCATCAGTGTGTGGGAGAAAAGCTCTTATATCAGAAGTGAATGATTCTTGGAATGTGTTTGATCAGTAGATTAGTTTGTGGTAGACTCCGATCAGAAGAGAGTCGGGCTAAGGATGGAGGGGGAAGCCCCAGTGTCAGATAAAGAAGGATTATTTTGAACTGGGACTCATGCAAAGCTGCTCGAGCAGAATCTAAGAATCCAAATATTGAGCTGGAAGTAAGAGGTTACCTGTAATTCCTTGTGTGTGTGTGTGTGTGTGTGTGTGTGTGTGTGTG